GAATGACATCTCTACCTAAACTTGCCTTTTGCATTGGCCTGTATTTCTGGCTCAGCTTCTCTGAAGGAAGAAAACACATCCGTGTGAAAAAGAACCATGTCCTCTAACTGCACCTAGCCCCTAAGACAAATGCCATAAGAGAATATTCACCTTCAGAGCAAGGTAGGACATGTCATTTCAGACTCCCAAGATTTCCCTTTTTGTTACTTTCTGGAAGTCCTTCAATAATCAGTCACTTGAGAGGAAAACAGTCTTAGAGAAAATGGAGGCTTAACATGTAAATGCTGCAACAATTCTACACTTATCATGCCATCATGTTGACGACAGCAGAGTTTTGGGTCGTGTACAAAACATTTTTGAATACCTCTCTCAATGTTCACAACCATCTTGAGGTAAATAACAACAAAACTGCTATTTATTGAGTACTTAGTGCCTGGCATTTTCGTTAGGAGCCTTACATAATTTTATTATTTAATTCAACAATCTGCTGAGGTGGGAGTTGTAAATCATTTACTAAAGTCAGATACAAGGCAGGATTTGAATCCAACTCTATCTAATTTGAAAACTCTTGTTCTCTAAATCGCAACACTATGCCAAGATTTGGAGGAAAAGGCTTAGGTTTCAGTTCCGGAACTTAAGAGCTATGTGACCTTGGGAAGTCACTGAATTCTCTTAACTCTTCATCTATAAAACAGGAAGATTAATACCTGACCCCATCTATTTCATAGCAGCAATTAAGACCACATGAGATAAAGGCAATACAAGGTCTTCATAAACGATAAAAAAAAAACTACACAAATATAAATTTATCATCATCGTTCCCAATTTTGATAAAGAGAATGAATAGGAGAAACCACATAGAATAGAGGTTGGAAGGGGAAAGATGCTGGTTTTTCTTTTGTTTGGCTTTTGTTTTCTTTTTAAAGTATGCTGAAGACCCTTAAGGAGAAACTTCAGACTTCATAATGTACTTGGGACCTACTGTCAATTGGGCTGTGATAACAGCATCTGTACCACAACTTATATTGTCTTTGCTAAAAATACAGACACAGCTGTATACCTGTAACTTATGCAGATTTGAGGTCAATAAAAATCTAACAGCTGATTTCTTCTTAAAAGTTTAGTTCTCATAAGAATCAGTGACCACTACATTAGGTCAGCATAATTAAAATTCCCTCGCAACAGCCTTCCTGTTCTTTTCTACAGTATCATTTCCAACCTGGGGTGCCTACATCTTTCATTCTGCAAAGACTAAAACATGAACTATTGAACCAAAATAAATAAATCAGATCACTCAAAATGATGAGTTTAAGAGAAATTTTCTATTATTCAAAATTTCACAATTTAAAGTTAACTTCTAATGGTATTTTCAGCAAATGACAGAAGAAGTTGGAGTGAAATCACTCAACTGTTGTGAGGTATGTCAGATATTAAAAAGAAAAGTATTTAATCTACATTACTAATTATAAAAAGATCCAATGGCAGAGTTCAGAAAAGTCACAAAGTACTTACCCTTTCATACTAAAAACAGCCCTATTACTTTTATTTCTTCTAAATTACATTCACAAAAACCACTTTTAGCAAGGCAAATTATTGTAACAACTTACCCATATATTAACAATAAAAAAATACCATTCTCATTTTCAATACCATTTCTTTCTACGGAAGAAAAATCATGGACTCTGATAAACCATTTCTATAACATATGTACATTTTTACTGATAAACTACATACAATATTTGATCTACAGTTAAGCCTACATGTAAACTCAACAAGCCTGTCAGACCTAACTTTTACATATGAAATTATGTCCTAATACCTCAATACTGAAACTCAAAAGAGTGATCTATACACTAGATTTTCTGTGTAAATAGCGAATGATATAATTCCACGGAGGAGCTTTTGAATCGAATTCATTCGTTCATTCAATTGAGAATCTACCACATCTTTCTCTCTAAGCAGTGGTTCTCAAGGAGGGACAATTCTGCACTCCCCTCCCCCAAGGGGACATTTAGCAATGCCTGGAAACATTTCTGGTTGTCACAACTCAGGTGGGGGATTGTTGCCATAAAGGTACGCAACAGGTATCTAGTGAGTAGAGGCCAGGGATGCTGCTAAACATCTTACAAGGCACAGGGCAGCCCTCCACAAGGAATGATCCACCCCAAAATGTCCTACTGCCAAGGTTGCGAAACTCTGATCTCTCGAAAAGCTCATAAACACCCATTGTCTAAAAACAGTACTCACTTCACCCTTGTTTCCTATATTATTTGCTAATTCCATTCTTTTCAAACTAGCCTTTGGCAACAAACTTACCCTGTCCCCATCCCTTCAATCAGCTTCTAACTTCCAAACTTGTCAACAGAATCATCATCTCAGCCAATTCCAAAACATTACAGTCTCAGACTCATCCCTATTTTTAATAATCGTAGTAACACATATTTAGCTCTTAACTATGTGCCAGGCACTATTCCAAGTGCCTCGCATATATTATTAACTTATTAAATCTAGATACTATTATTACTAGATACTCTTATCATTCCCATGTTACAAATGGAGAATCCAAGACACAAAAAAATAACTTGCTCAAGGTCACGGAGATACTAAGCGGCTGAGCCAGGTTTCAAATCCAGGTAGAATGCCTCCAGAGTTCATGCCCTTAATAAGTGCTCCAAAGTCACCTCTCTTCTGTCACCCTCTACATCAAATCATGAAGTCCTTTAAGTTCCACAAGGACAGGGACTCTGTTATATGCACAGCAACATCCTCAGAGCCCAGTGCGTAATAGGCGCTCAAAAAACTTTTGTTTGTTGAATGAATGAACTATCCCTCAAACTTACCCCTATTCCCACTGCCTCCACTCAGGGCCAGTCTTGCAGCATTTCATACCTGGCTTTGTTGATGTATCCTATAAAGTAGCTGATCAAGTAAACCGACATAAACTCTTCTGCCACATTTTCCATAACCAGGGCCTATCCAAAGTATTAAAAGTTTTCTTCCTACTGCGTCTCAATTAAAATAAAAATCCTAAGAGTGAGATGATCTAGTCCAATGTTTTACAGATAAAGAAACCCAAAGATGGTGATGAAATCACCCAGGCAGGTGAAGCGAAGAACTTGATTCTCAGCAACTGTCGCTCTATGAGTCGCTCTTGGAGTATCTGCTTCACTCCTGCCTGACATGAATCCTCACTATCCCATCAACAAATCATGTTCATTCCCACGGTCCATGCTCAAGTTGTCTCTCCTGCCCAGCCTGCCCTCTTTTTCTTGCTCCATAGATCCAAATCCTATCCATCCTTCAAAATCTCTTCCTATTCCATTCTTCATGACCTCCTCCTCCTCTGAAAATCTTATGTCCTGAATAAGATGCTAGGCTAGAGGAAGATGATCACTGTTGCCTTCTGGGCCAAATCGAATGCACGCGAACCCGTTCCACAAAGCAGAGCCACTTGGATGACTTCTTCCCTAAAAACTATTCACTATTCACCCACTCTTTCCTCCTGTGTTTTAGGAAGTGATTTCAATAAAGGCCAAGTCATATAGCGCTTTCATAAAATGTTCATACACCAGAAAGAGAAGCTCATTCGCATCTTTAATAGCACACGGGTAATTCTTGAATAGCCCCCAAATCACTTAATACTTCCTCCAATGAGAAACAACTCAGCTTATTCACAAAGTCCAAACTCAGAACTCGCTGATACAACTCACCTAGCAGACACAGCTCCTTGGGTTCATCTCTTCCTTTGCATGACTTCCTCCAAACTCATTTCTTCTTCCTCTTCCCTACATTGTACAGTATAGAATATCCTGTCTCTTTTATCCTTTTTTTTTTCTATATGCCTCTTCATACAGAAACGCCTCTCATCCAATCTCAACTATCCAGTCCTTTAGACAGAATTCATATCTATCTCTTCCACCTTTAGGCCTTAAGACATCTCAACCACAAGAAAGTCAATTTTGTTTTTCCCCCTTCTCCACTCTTTCTTCCTCTAGAAAAGCGGTCTCAAAAACGATGTGGGTGCAGCTCAGAGAAAGTGCAAAAGGATCCACTGGGCTGCAGGAAAAGATATATATTAGCACTCTTATTACACTTACTTTTTCAACTCATCCTTTCTTAAATTCTATTTCTGTGTACGTTGTAAGTTACATAACCTATTAGTACAGTAGGCAAGTCCATATTTAATAAAGGTACATTAATTCTTGAGGTATTTGCTCTTTTACTGATTAAAAGTGTATGATCAAAAGAGTCTGGAGACAACTATTCTAAAATTACCTTGATGATGAAGCCAAAGTAACAGGTTCCAGGCTACAGAGAGGACACATGTATGGACACATGCATACACAGGAGGAGAAAAAGCTCACGTTCAAATCCGGAGTCCGAACCATGCCCAGCAACCTCTAACCCCTACCAGCCATCTCAGAATTGTGTCCTACTCAAAAGAGAACAGCGGATGGTTTGGCAAAGCCCTTCATTTCCAGTTTGGAAAAAAAAAAAAATCAAGAGTGCTGACACTGCTCATCGCTTGACTTCCAAATACACTTTATCCGCCACTGCCTCCGGAGACTCAGCTCCTAGTTCCCGATTCCTGGACGCACAACCCACGTTCCCCTCGCTGCCCACCGATGTCTGCTAACGCCTCCGGGACTGAATGAACTCACACCTCCCTTCATCCTTCCCTCCCCGGGCGACACTGTCCACCGTCCATCCCAAGCCGCACAGTCCCCGTCCCGGGGTAGAGGGCAGTCCATCCACGGTCCCTAAGACCACTTCTCCTTCCTCCTCCGCCCCCGGGAGCTGCCAGCCAGGCTGGAGACGGCCGGGGGGAGGGGTGAGACGCGCCTCCCGTGACTGGCCCAGATGGCAGCCGATTCCGCCCCCACTCTCGGGCACCCTTCCACCGCGCGACCCCCTAGGGCTGCCGGTCTTGCCTCCCAGCCCGCCGCGACCCCACCCCCGGTCTCCCCGACACCCTCGTGCCGGCGCCCGGACACACTCACCATGCTGGGTGAAGATATTGAAGCCGGCCTCGGTGGTGCGCCCCACCAGGTCCCGCCTGCGGCCGGAGGGCCTGGCGGCGCTGCTGCCCCGGATCCCGCGGGGCTGCGCCTGCTGAAGCCCCGGAGCCTCCCCGACGCGGCCCACCTGCTGCCCCATCCCTGCGCTCGCGTACTCCCGCGCCCACGCCGATCCCTGGTCACATTCCTCCTCTGCTCCGGCTTCGGGCTCCTGGCGCTGCTCCGGCTTCCCCTTCCCAGTCCAGGCCCCGGCCCTGACCGGCCGCGCCGCCCGCGGCTCCGCACCGGCACTCCTCACGGCGGCCGCCGCGCTGCCTCTCGGCGACTCACAGAGCCTCCTTTTCCCTCCCCCTCCCGCCGCTCCGCGCCCCCAACGCCGCCGCCGCCGCCGCCGCCATCTTTAAACCACCGAGCGCTGGGGAAGCGTGGAGCAGAGCGTCTCCCGCCCCCCACCCGACCAGTCACCTCCGCTACTCCGAGGGAGGGCTTCCCGGCGGC